CCAATATCTGCTCTTATTGGTCCAACGATCTAGCCTTAAACTGAAATCTTTGTGAACAAGACTGTGCGTGACGGAAACGACGGCGTCGGCCAACAAGGCTACTGGGGTAGCAGTCAGAGCTGTGGCTGGCAGCCATGAGCATCACGGCAAAAGGACAACTGGTAGTTTCTGCGAGCAGCGTCGCTTTTTGCATGGCCGCCGCACTACTAACTTGACCGTGTAGCAGGGCAGTGACGGTGCTACGGAATTTCGAAACACAATCCTTTAGCGTAGCTTCCGGCAAGAATGCAGGTAGTCCATGACGATATTCTGCGATAGAGCCACCATGACGCCAAATTTGCAACAAGCGTTCGGCATCAGCTCGAAGCTTCTCTTGGGCATTTATATGCGAAGGAGAACTCTTGGACAGCGTTGTCGTTGGCACACCAGGTTCACCACCAGGAGGACATGAAATTGAGCTGACAGGAGGGCCCAAGCGGTCACGTACATCCTGCGGAGAAAAAGTACATCAGAACACCGAACCTGTGCCAAAAAGGCTTGTTCTAACTAACTGCACAAACTTACGGGCAAAACCGCGGCAAACCAGTTCCAAGCTCGCCGTTTACTTTTGATGCGAAATTTACGTTTTGTTTTTCTGGCGGCGTTTTTTTGACGACGGCAATTTTCCACTCTGGTAGCAAAAAAATTTGGCCACAATGGAAAGCGGCGCTTTTTTCGTCCACCAGGTGGATCTAGGTGTAAGAGCCATCGATGAGCAAAATGGGAGCTGTTGACTTTCGAAATACAGACACCAGATTTGAAAACAACCGGCTGCGAAGAAAGTTCGCCGGAGATTCAATTGAAGACCTAGCGAGTATTAGAACGCGGCGTTTTGCCAGCACAATCAGATCAACAAGGGAAGGAAAAACACTTGGTGGGGAACGAAAAACATTCCGGGAAGGAAAAACACCCATACGGGAAAGGAAAACACCTATAAGCCTTTTTCCTGCTACTCGGGGGCTGGTTTGTAACCAGGGGGCTGGCTTGTTTAGCTTGATGGGCACCACACTTGAAGCCATGCTTCCCACATACACTAAGTGTGTCTGACCGTGTGCGTTGGCTTATGGACAGGCCGCCATATCAGCGGGGATCAAGTCCACGCTGTTTCCTGCTGGGTACTGATTGAATCTGACACGTCCAGCCAAAACCTTCTCCAAAAGCTTCCCCCAATCGCGCCAACCATTTATCGATCACATCTGGTCGCATGCGAACGGTTGCGGACGGTTGCGGGCATGAAAGCAACGGTTCCGATTATCAAGTATTTAAGCTATATCCGATATCCATATTAACTATACGTGCATAGTCTTAGTTACAAGTTCTACGGTTTTGGATCCTCTAGCCACCCCTACTGTTCACAAAATATGGTGTGGAATTCACTTACTGGGCGCACAGTGTTTGCAATCGAACCATCCAACTGTCCACAAAATAGGTCGATCTGTTGTCCACGTCAAGGCGGCAGTCAGCTCAAAGCGTTGTGCCCTTCAGGCACGGCGCTCTACCCTGAGGCTGGAATTTCACTGTCGTCAGCGAATTCCTCCTCTTCTTCTCCTTCAGGATGCTCATCATTTCCAATCTCGCCAATCGCTTCCTCTCCAGGAGCTGCTGCATCCAGGATGGCTCGGATCATGGCCTCCTGGATGATGGACTCAACGGGGCTTGCTAACAGAACACAGTAAAAACTATAGTGAGAGGAGCAGACCAACACAGCAACAACTCAGGACGTCGCAGACATTTCTTTCACAACCTCTTTGGTTTTCCCCTTCTCGAACTCGAGGCGGCATGCTTCCTTGTTTGCACCCACTCCCACAATCATACCCATTGACTAGATTTGGACATTGGACATCACACACTCACAGACCTAAGGTTTGCTCGGCAATCTCATGCAACTGATCTGCCGACACTCCATCCACAGGTTTGACCTTGACAGGTTTGAAGTTACATTAATACGCGTTGCGTGTGGATTAAAATGCGCACGCACTCAACAATGTTCAAACACTGCGCACTGTGAATTTGAGATCCAGACAACCAGGACTTGCGGGCCCTTTTTCTGCCTCAACCCCCACGTACCGTCCTTATGGTACAAGTATTTGTAAAACCTGAGCTGCTCGGGGTCAGGACTGGCTTTGGCCTTGGCAGCAGCGGGTTTCTTGGTTGCGTTTTTTGCGACCTTTGCTGGCTTTTGTGCCTCAGACTCAGCGGCTGTGAGTGCCTCACTCTTGGGTTGCTCTGAGACTGCCTTGGCTTCCTCTGGTTCCTGCCTCTTTTGTGGAAGCTTTTTCTTGGGTTCTGCCTTGCACTTGCTTTTTGCTTTTGCTTTTGCTTTTACTTTTGCCTTCGCTGTAGGTTTCACTTGCTTCGGGGCTGCTTTTGCTTGGGGTTCTTCGTCTGAGAGCTCAGTTACGGGCTCAGCTGGCATTTCGTGACTGCCACTCTCTGAAAGGGGTGAGGCCAACCACTGTGACAGTGGTGTTTCTAGGTCTTCGTTGTTGTCTACTGGCTTGGCCTGCTCGTGCACGGCTGGGGGCAACCGTTCGCGCCAATCGCCTGCGCTATCAAACAATCTAAACATTACCACCTTGATAGAGCCTGAAATGTCAGAGAGTGCGCAAACAGCACAAAGCATGTGAGCATCATATACACCACACTGTGCTCATTGTCAAATGCCTTGACTGAACAAGCTGTGGTAAGACTGGATGAAAACTCGAAGCATAAGCACACACATTCTTCACCGGACAGGCGCTGCAATCTGAGTGGCCTGTCCCAAATCATAAGCCCTACAATTGAAAGAAACAGCCAAGTTGGCGCTCAAAATTCAGCCTGGCTCAAGGATCTAGAGTTTCACTGCCTGGCGCCCAGCCAGCTTCAAGCAATAGCAAAGCCACATCTTAGGCTTTACTGGAACCACTGTCGCTGGCATGCCGCTGTTGATCTTGACCTACCACTTGGACAATTTGTTTGTTTTCTTGTCTTTGTCTTGAAACAATGGTTAAACTTGAAAACAATGAGAGAACAGATTTGGAATTTGAACCCTCATAGCCTCCCACAAGACACGGCAAAGAGATGTTGGAGCGCAAGCTAACTGATGGAACTTTCCAATGAAAGCTGCCCCCAATTGCGAATACCGTGCGTTCATCAAATCAGTTCCGGATTCCAGCTTCTTTGGTTCATACACATTCACTTGTGCTCGCGGAGTAATGTTGTATCGGAATGGTCGCGCATTCCCAGCCTGATTAGAGGGCCCAAATTTGGTGGCCTAATAAGCACTGTGAACCTTCAACAAAAACATGTAAACATGTAAAACTGCGAGCGTTTTCTTTAGGCACATTGCTGTCCTCATCAGTCATTTGAACCATGTCGTGATCACAAAGCACCAGTTCAGTCGCCCCACTAGACTGCGCAGCACTGTATGCGATCTGCGCCACACACTTGCCCTTCTTCTGGCCATCTTTAAGAAGTATTATCGTGGAGTGATCGGCTTCCACAATGAAAGGCATAGCATCTCTCACAGCGGCCCGCGCAGCACCTCCGCAGTCAACAGTTCAACATGAATCTTGTAACTAGCTCAACAACTCAACATGAATCTGACTCAAAAGTGAATTTTCAAGCACCCCACCTATTCCCTTCTCAGAGAATGATCCCACGTTGAATCCAAATAACTCACCACTCTGGACTTCTAAAGGGCCCGGGTCGGTGTTGACCAACCAGACTGACAGATCCTTCCCGACGCAAACCTGAAGCTTCTCTGACAAGGGAGGCACAGACTTTGCAATGCACCTCAAATGAGTCAGAGCACCCGAATCCACCCAACACAAAAAATAACAAATTAATGGCGACACTCATCAAAGCATTCATAGTTTTTGCTGTCAAAAAGCTCATGCTTTGTCTCGAACTCTTCCAAGGGCAACGTCTCATGAGGCACCCCAGTTGATTCAAGGTTCATAGGGATCTTGGGCGAATCGAAGGTTGGCTGGCAAACAGTCCGCGGCGGCAAAGGTCGAGTCGGGCTGGGCTTGGGAGTTGTAGTCGAAGTAGTAGTCTTGGTAGGAGTCGCAGTCGACTGAGCAACACGTGAAATGACGTCCACATCATGCTCCTGATTGAAGGCTTTCACTTTGGCAGTGAGCGAATCAGAATTGATGCTGAGGCCAGACAGCACTGCATCAGGCAGCCTGACAATGAAAATAATCCAACTGGCTATCATATAAAACAATAACATATGATAACCGAAACCATCATGAAAGCGTCCAACATGAAACTGCGACAAATCTAACAACCAAGCCCCAGCCACCCCAAAGATTACAGCTTGTAGCCAAGGAACACAATCTTAGACTCCGACATCGTGCACACTTGCATGGTGGGCTGCGCGCCATTAAAAGGGACACGGAGACGAGTCTTGGGCCCAGCATCGGCGCATCCATCCCAATAGGCCTGACAGAGTGGGTTGAATGTTGGTGCCAGTGAAAACTGCCGGAACACTAACAAGAAAGTATAGCCTATCACAATTTAGAAAATATGCTCTAAGCTATGCTGGGGCTCAAGAATCTCGCCCGCAATGTAAGTGTTCCAGTCTTCTGCAGTGAGTTGGTCCTCTTGGGTCATATAGCCAACGTAACGCCAATCGTAACCGCCAGCACCACTTTCACCTACAAGACCTTTATGCTGAAGTGACCAAACAGCCCTGCTCCACTCATTGTACCTTGCAGTGCAAACTTAGGCGCTTGTACACTCTCAACTTATTATCAAACTTGAACAAATGGTTTCTCTAAGACGCTTGGAAGGCATCAAGTCAACGACATACACCACTGAACTGCCGTGATCCCTCTCCATGCCATCCACAAGACCCATTAAGATCTCGCGGGTAGCCTGAACTCCCCGTTGCTGGGCCTCAATTGAAACTAATATATATCTAGAAGCAATACATAATGCTGGAGGAACAGAAAAAACTACAGATCATGTCTCGATCATGGGCTTTGCCGAGATTCTCGAGCTGGCGGCGAACATGGTTTGTCATCCTCGCTCCATAAATCCATCACTCGGGCCCGGGTCACGGGCCCTATTGTCCCCAGGGTCGCCTTGGATTTCTGGAATCCATAGGTCTTGTGGATGGTGCCCACACCGAGAAGGCCTCCGATTCCAAACCGACCCACGCCGACAGCCCTAGACTCGTTTACAACAATCTGGCCGGGCCTGACTGAAAACGGCGCCTGCGATCTCCTCCATGCATTGCGTCAGTGAATGTCACTGTAAGCTCTTGGAATTCCATGGCCCTCAGCCCCAGTCCCACCAGCTACCTCTTCACCTCTTAACCTGTCACACATACAGTACACACTGAGCCCAGTCAAGTAGCCCCATGATCTTATCCTCCAGGACACGCTTGTTCTTCATGACAGTTTCTTTGTCTGTTGAAGCGTGTTGCAAAGGTAGTAGAGCGCAAAGGATGGCATTGGAATCGCCATTGCTCACTGTCTTCGCTACCTCCACTGCCTCATCTATCAGCAATGGGCCTCAAGCGCTGTGCAAAGAACAGTTCAATGGTGAATGTGAACTGATTGGCAGGTCTTGTTCTTAGTATGGCACGCCGCGGCCACAAGGAGGCGTCCAAAATCATGATTGTCAGCCTCAGAGTGAACATCACTAGAATCTGACCTCAAGGTAAGCTTGGAGAACTGACGTGAGCTTCTAACTACACTGAGTAACCCGTTCCCACCATGGTCGCCCCGCTGATAGTGAAGCAGGTCCGCGTGCGCTTGGCTCAGCGGGTTGGAGCAACAGCGGTGATGCTTCTCCATGTACTTTGCCACCCAAGTCTTGCCACGATCATAACGCTCGGTCATGTAGCGAAGGTCCAGACCGCCCTGATTTTGAATCCCGCAACCAAAACTGAAACCACCCTTCTTGGCTGTGCTTCCTTTGCAGGTCCCTCTGAACTGTTTTATGAAAAAATTGTGTTGTCTAGATCCCGCCTGCTGATTTGCAAAAAGGGTGGCTTCCTGGATGAAAGCTTTCATGCGGGCTAGATCATCCTCGATCTTGGATTCCGTATCTTTCAAAGTAGCTGTGGCCAACATGGTCGCAATCCTAGGAATATGTTCACGGTCAGCTTTGTACTTCCAGGCAAAATTTTCACTGTTTGAGAACATGCTGCCCAAGCAGCGCTTCAGCAGCTGCGTTCTGCTCCCTTTGAACCTGACATGGGACAAGTTAAGCTTGAGTTAACCATTGCACCATTGGCAAAATAATATATCACTTTTGGAATTGCCCCGGCCTTCTCTCCATGTTTTGAGACTGGTGCTCTGAAAAGCCCAACGTACGAAAGGTCAGCTGGAGGCGCCGACTGCTCCAGCATCACTTCAAGTTCTGCGTCGCCATGACGTGCCAGGAACCTTGCGTTGACAAACAGTGGTCTGCAATAAGCCTACATGTTAAAGGTATGACACTAGTATATAGAGTACAGACTGAACAAACCCAGTTGTGACAAGTAACGCTTTGATAAGTGTCGGTTCTTCTTCTTTCACAAAGCTCTCTGGATAGGTGGACCGGAAAACGCGCATGCAAGCAACGAAGGCAGCGCATTGCTTCTGCAACGAATCCTTGAACAGGTGTCAGATTGAATTGTTGTTTGAACAGTGATGACTGAAGATGACTGAAGCACCTGTAGAAAAAACATAACTGGAAGCAGGATGGAAATAGCCTAGCTAATGGAATAATTGAACGCAAGCCAAATATCCAGCGTCGTCATGTTCCAAGTCTTTCTGAGTTTGGGTCGCGTCTGGGAGTAGTCAAGTTCCATCCTTTGGCACATCAGAGCCAAGGACTCAGGCGAGTTTTTCAAGTCCTTCTCCCACGGAAGGAGGGCATTGATCCCTGAAGTGTAGTCCCGGTTGAAGATGCCGTTGCAAACCGGTTCATGAGTAAGGAATTTGCCCATGGACCACTTCCTTGGCAACATGCCCAGCCCCTGACCCTTTTCATGGTGGTGGCATCATGATGGCATAATAAACACCTCAAGTTGGGAGAGGGTCTTGACATGAGAAGATAGAGATTCGACCACCTCCTCATCCACTTCATTAAGTAACTGCATTGCTGCACCACTCTCCATTTTGCCCAGCTGATAGGCTTCGGCTAGTTCAGATGCAGAATTCCAGGCCTCCAGCACAACACAATGACATTTATTTACCCTATTATGCTAGCACTCAGCCCAGCCTGAAGACCCGCAGTGTCTTCCTTGCCCATGCGCTGCGTCAGCCGCATCTGAAACAGCAAGTTGAAGCAGTTGGGACGCCGTCTCACTGTGCTTCCCATAGTGATTCCTGGCGAGAATCATGAGCTTCGCTGAGCAAACCATCTTGAATTGAACAACTAATTGAAATTGGTCACTCAGTCTTGTCAAACAAACTATGATGAGCGCCTCTGTTTTTCAGCAGGATGAGACTGGGATCGTCTCGGCTGGGCACTAGCGCCACTGCTCCGTGCACAGTGCAAAATGACCTGAAACGTTTGAGCACGACAGCATATCATAATAGACCTGGGAAGGTTTTACAAATTGTTTCTTGGACTTGCATCACCACACAATGAAGCTGAATGACTTCTTCACGTCTTCTGGCCATAGTGCTAGAAGCTCTGGCGATTGGTAAGCAGCAAGCATGCAGGTGACTGCACAGAATGACCTTGACCAGCCTTTGACCATGAAAGCTGTCATTGGTGCAAGCATAGTGGGTGATTCTGGGAAAAGCTCTTCTGAATGCGTGTCGAAAACTGGATTGCATCCATACGCTCGCGGCATTTCACAGATTGCAAGCTTTTCAACTCCTCCTTCATTCGCATCTGACCGCAGCCTTACAATGCATAATAAACACGTTTTTTTTATCCACTACAGTGATGCTTGACACCTACTGGCCAAGAAGCCCGTGGCACATGATAAGCTGACATAATTGGAGATGCGAATCCTTTGCACATGCAGAGATCGGTGGCTCAAAAAGGCTGAACGCTCACCAAAAAACCAAGCGCAGACTGGCGACAGGTTCCATGAAGCCTTTTAGGCCTGCTTGTGGGTTGAAAGGGAGGTGGAATGGCCTGAGGAAAACTCCTCCAGTGGCCTGCAGGCTCGCTGATGTGGCATAGGTCCTGTAGCCAAAGAATGAGCGCTGCAAACTCAAGGACTATGGGCATTTAAGGCCCTGGCACTCCGTGCTCTGCTGGAAAAGTTGTGTCCATCCACTTCACAAAATTGACGCAATCGTCCTAGCAACGCTTGGCGACTTCTGAATAAAAACATCTCCCAGGACAGTCCCAGACTGTCCTTGGTTTTGAAAGCATGTTCAAAAACCTTCTCCATGTTGTCAAACTTCTCCAGCTTTTCTGTCCTGGGACTTAAGTTGCAATTATATATATATATTATATTATTTATGAGTATTTCAATGTTCTGTTCAATCTGCTGCAGGCAAAAGTACACAATCAATTTACTACCCGCAATCATCTCAAGCCGACCAAATGTAAAGGGACGAGCTGCAGCCACTTCTGGAAGGATTTCACATGCTGGGTACTGAGCTCAGCTGACGTCAAGCAGAGCAGCTCTGACTTCTCTGACTTGGCAGCCTTTGAGTGCGAATCCGCTCCGCCGCCACTCCCAGACTTGCGTTTTGGCATGATGACAGCCACTGACTGAGCCCGCTCTGAAGCCAGCAAGTACACCAAAAACATCCAAAAACTTAGCAGACTGAAGTGTGAATCTCAGGCATGTTCAAGCAACATTGTCACGAAGCCGCAACAAACACCTGCTGACACTGAGAATGAAAGCTCATGTTTCTGTGCATCAAACCCTTCATCTGGTGCTGTGGATGAAGCCCACAATCCTCGCTTGAATTTCTCAGCTAGAGACTGCTCACGAATTGGGCGCACCTGGCACCACTAGGCAGGTTGACAGAAAGGACTTGAACTTCACACCTCAAATTTGAGCTGACCAAAAAGGACTCACAGCACAGACTGCACAGTATTTCGTCGGCCGAGCAAACTGCAAGTCCAGTACCCTTTCGGGTCAGCAGCAAACAACATCTCATTATTGAGAGAAAGTTCTTCTCAGCGCTAGACTGTCAGTGAGAACAGCGTCGCCACGACAAGCAAACAAGAAACCTAATCACTCAAATGGCTGTATGTACTGTGGATAGTATAGACATATGGTGAAGTATTTCAAACGTGGAAAAATCATGGATAGTATTATTTCAATCCAATGTGGGACACGGGTGACACCCCAAAAACATGTTGTTCGCCGATTATTGAAGATATAATTTCCCAAATCGAAAGAGGATCGGACCTACACAAAAAAACATTTGTGCAGAATCCGATCGTTCCCACTTTGGATTGCGCAGAATCCGATCGTTCAACCACTTGTTGCGTGCAGAATCCGATCGTTCAACCGCTAGTTGCTTGCAGAACCCGATCGCTCAACCACTAGTTGCGTGCAGAATCCAATCGTTCAACCAAGTAACTTGTGCAGAACCCAATCGTTTAAAGATGTGTTTTGTGCTAAAGCTAATTGTAGACATGCAGTTTGTGTAGAACGGCCAGCAGTGACCCAACACAAAACGCTGAATCTGGCGCGTGAAACTTGAGGGACTCCACAGTGAGCATGGATTTGTGCAGGAAGGGGTCCACATACTGCACAAACTTGAAATTTTCATTGTACTTAGTGTGTGAGAAACTCTTCAATTCTTACCCGGGGCTAACCCCCTAAATGTCCATGCCGCACCCAAATTTTTAGGCATTTTTCATCAACAATCTGAGACTGACAGACATACATAAAATAAACAAGTTAAACTTGTAGAACGTCACAACAAGTTGACCCTACAAACCAGTGGATTCTGTGTGGGGGCAGGGGGGGTGTCATACACGAAAACCATCCTTCCGGGAAAGAATCCGAATCTTTTGAACTTGATGAACCCCAAAAACTTAGATTTGGCTCCAGGGTGAAGGCCTTTGTGTTGGGGGGCAGGTGACCCTCGACAGGAATTGGAAGCTTGAAATCAGAGTCGATTTTGTGAAGTTGAGGCTTCTCAAGCCGAGGGGATTTGTGCATGGCGGCGCTGCATAAAGAAGACAGCCTTTTCTAGAAGCCACTCCAGAGCCTAAGCCTCAACCACAGTTTGAAGTTAAAAGCTTCCCTGCACCACACCACAAAAACCATGCAACAAGTTCATCAAACGCTCTACCAAACACACTAGGCTTCATGAGTGGCAGCGTCAAACGCTTCAGTTATGATCGTCAACGCTTCCTGCCAAGCAACCCCTTGCTGCCACAATTTGGCAGCGGCTGTGTAGATCCAAAAGCTCTTTCTTCTCACTCTATAGGAATCAATGAAGCGCCTGTCAATCCTCTCCCTCCGCAATTGCAAACGGTTAGGATCCTAAGAGTGGCAGCACAACAATTCAATTCATTACAGTTTGAGGAACAGTGCATACTGCTACATCAGTCAAGCTGCCACAACAATAGCAAAATAGTTTCAAGAATGATTGACACCGTACTATGAATTCTTAACCAAATGGCCGGATCCAAGTTGATGCCGCCACCAGGAATGGACCCACCCAAACCAACGGCTGGTCCAGGGGCCAACCTCATCCTGAGTTGTGACAAAACGCCTAGTGTATTCATTCCTGGCCGTTTGCCAAATAATTACGGCATGAGCTTGAGAAACACAACAAAAAATCACTATCTTTTGACAATGAGCCGATCGATTGGCAAAGGAGGCCCCCTCTCTTCTTGATTTGTGGCCATGAGATCCAAGTAGTCTGCCGCTTCTGTCATGCAGAAAGGCTCCTTGCCTCCACAACGTGAGAACAGAAAACACTGCAATGAAACACGCTGACAAATCATATGGTGGTGTTAGTTGGGGAAACTACAAAGCTCACTGCTGAGGGGGATGATGTTTAAAACTCGTTTAGCGCACAATCGAACGTCTCAATTAGTATTAGCATCATTTGTCCATATGGAACTTCAAACAGTGTGCATAACACACTTTTATACACCGAGCCAAGTTACGCAAAATCTTTGCGTATTTTGCCCAGCTCTCAGCCGCTTTAGAATCAAAGTGCCGTTCTTCCGCCAAAACTGCACAGGACTGAGGAGAAGTGCCACAGAGACACCAGAAGTTATTTGGTTCGTTCATACAATGATTCTTCAGCTAAGAAGCACACCATTTCTGTGTACAGTGCGCACATTATGTGTTACAGTTACAGTATGTGTTACAGTCTGGTATGTTGCTGAGAATTGTTTCGTGACGCGCATCAAAAGCAAAGAAAGGTCACATCACAGTTGCTCCCTCTTCAACGTCATGAACATTGTGAACCCACTGACTGACACATTGTCCCAATTAAATGGGAGGCTCAAAGCTTAGGTGAGCGACCTGTAAAGCAAGGTTTCTTAAAGGAATCGGTTATCAAAGTAAAGCTGTCAGCCTGGCGGCGCTCCACCGCCGTCACTGTGGATCATGTCTTGGACTACTGCGTGCGGAAGGTAAAGGATTGGCCGGCTCCAAGTGTCATCTGACATATATTGTTTTGTCCTGGGAATCGAAAAAGATAAGGGTCTGTCTTTAAGGAGGAACGAACGGGCCCTTCTCTAAGTGTAACAAGCTGAGAGTGAAGTAAAGCCGTTTCAGTTCTCGTCTCCTGAGAATGACGTCAGATCCGTGCTCTGGCAAGTGTAGTTTGGCCCAAAACTTGGAGTCAATCTGCGAAGCAGCAATGCCTGGCTACAAATTTGTGTGTTTTCATTATTGGGTTGCATTTGTTTTCATCTCTTTTGTTCTACACCCTGGGCCTGCCTAGGTCCTCTCTTCTGTCAAAGGCGAATGTACGTGGGGCGCCAGGGCCTCCAATGCCTTGTAGGTGGTTGCCCAGGCAGCCGATGTGCAACCATGTTTTCCTCACAACGGGCATCATTGGGCCAAAGGCTTTGAGTATAAAGTTGAAACCATTAAACCAAAGTCGAAAGCCCACTACACAATTCAATGGGTTGTCAAAACTTCAACTTACACTCATGGAGGCCAGCATCCAGCTTCGGGCGCAGGACACCAAATGCACTTCTCTCAAAGGCTCATTTGGCCGAACAGTGCCATCGTTGTGAAACTCTTCGAGGCAACGCTTGAAGTGGTTTGGTGTGTGGAGCTCCTTGTAAGTTTGTATGTGATTGCTTAAAATGGAAAAGTATTGGTCCACGTCCTCATGAGAATGTCCCGTCATGAGGCACCTCAACTCGCCCCGCCTTAGGCGGTGCGAGGATACGTAGAGGGCCAGCAGACGGGTCAGGCAATTGTTTTTCCACTCCCTGGTGGTGTTGTCAGTTTGCAGAAGGAGCTCTACACACCGGCCGTCCACACGGCCAGATTAAATGACGCGGTGCAAAACGAAGCTCAAAAGATCGGCCATCAAATTTGAATCTTTGGCGACTGGAACAATTGTTGGGAAACAAAATACTCCGTGACCGTGGCATATCAATGCTGTCATGTCCATACATGGACGAACGAAGGCGTCCAGGTCCTTGGCCTGGAAACATTCCGATCTTGGAAATCGAAACTTGCTATGGTCAATACCATCGCCAATGATGGCGATGGTCTGACAGCCATTTGGCAGCAGCTGTTTCAGCCGGCTGCAAGACCTTGCTGACCAGTAGAGTGAGCGGTCAGCAAACTGACGTCGAAGATGTTCGGTGTAAGCAGCCATTTGGCTTTGACGGCTGTTTCTATCATTGCCCAGCCGGCGAAGTATGCACTTGTGGCGAACGCAAATTCCACACTCTTTGTGCGCCGAACGTGGTCTCAATGCGAGCTTGCCACTGAAGCTCTCTGTCCAGACCTTTGCTGCGGGCAAAGGTCTGATTCGACTTGAGCCTGACTTATTATGTGTCCCATGTGAGTTGTAATACGTGTATTAATACGCATATAAAGTATATAACAGAGACACACTATTATTACACAAAACGCCTGTCTTTGGTAGCAGCAGTGGCCACAACTTGCTTAAAACAAGCCAGATTCTGAAGAAAATCGTTTCAAGGAGATCTTGCGATGAGGATGGCGGGCTTGCAGTAACGCCAGGTAGTCAGTGAACGTTCCAGGCGGTAGTAACCGCATCTGGGTCTGAGGCGCCTTGCCATCTGCCTTTTTCTTGGCTTTGAGTTTCCTCTGCAGCAAAGCAAGCTTGGGAGCCCTCCCCCTGCGCTTCCTAAAGCGTAGTGCACTGGGATGAGAACTCAGAGACTCTGAGGCTTCTGGGGCAGGCTCGCTCAATGTATGGTAGATTTCTTCTAGGAACTCGTGGACCAATGTCTTGTTCTCAGACCACTTCTGTCCGGCCCTACTGACAAACCTCCCATCAACTGGGATCTCAGGAACATCCTGCAATGCCGATTTCCTGAGCTTCTGAAATCTTCCGTGTCCAATCCCAACAAGCTTGCAAAAAGCCGATCCGCAAACTGGCTTCCCTCCCCAATAAGGAAACAGAATGCTTCCGCCCAACAGCTGGTTGGCGAAGTAAATCGCTAACCTTGGAAAATGTGGACAAAAGCTGGGGCAGCGCTTCCAGGATCAGAAAGAAATGAGATGGGTCGTTTGCTAGGAATGTTTTTCTTCTTCTGAGGTTCAACCTGCCTGATCAGGCACCACCTTGTCCCTCGACGTGGCCGCATGCACTTGGACCACCTGCCAAAGGATTGCCCGATCCCAGCAGATCGTCTAGACAAGGTCAAAGTGATCCTAGTCCACACAGCTGACGGCAAGAGCCGACTTCATACTGATGATGGCACTGAGACCTCACCACCTCCTGACACCACATCCTCATGGACTGGCTGCACGATCTTCCAGATCGATGGCTCCTTGCGCAAGGAGATGGCTATGTACTCTGGACAGCACACCATCTACACCAGCGCTAAGCAGGAAGCCAAGAGCCAGAAGATGATCAAGGCCAAGAAGTTCAAGAAAGACAAGAACGGAGTCAATGAACGGGTCTTGGGACCTCATGAAAGGGCATTGTTCAAGGAGGCAAAAGTCAAGGAGCTCAAGTCCTTCTTCGACCATGGCGTCTGGACCTTCCAACACAAGAATGACGCCGATGAGACTCGCACCCTGACAGCGAGGATGATCCTGAAATGGTCCAAGAATCCTGACGGCTCACCAAGGGCGAAGGCCCGATTGATAGTCAGAGGCTATAACGACCCTGATGCCTTGGCAGGCCAGATCGTCACCTCATCGCCGACAACCACCAGGTTGAGTCGAAGCTACATTCTGTCCCTGGCAGCCAACATGGGTTGGTCAACATGGACGGCCGACGTCTCTACGGCCTTCCTCCAGGGTCGGCCACAAAGCCGAAAGCTATGGGTCAAACTGCCAACGGAATGTCTTCAGCTCCTCGGCGCCGACGAAGACACAAGAATGTTGCTGCTCAAACCCTGCTATGGTCAGATAGACGCACCTCGCGGCTGGTTCTTGGAAGCAGTTGACAGGCCGCTACGTGCTGGACTCCGACAGCATCCACTGGACCCATGCTGCTTCCTGGCCTTCGAGACTGACAGCCCAAACTATGACGCCCAAGATCCTGTGCATCAAACTGTTCAGAGCCTGGGCGATGAGCGGTTGGTCGGCGTGATCATCATGCATGTGGACGACATGTTGGGCAGTGGCTGCTTGGACTCTCCTCGGTACCACGAGGTCGTTCGCACCCTCAAAGACACCTTCTCCTTCCGGGAGTGGAAACAGGACCTCGACAAGCTCGAATACTGTGGGTGCGAGCTCACAAAGACCGACAAAGACGGCCGCCGGCTTCATCAAGAGGCCTACATGGGGAAAGTCAGCCCCATCGCCTTCAATAAAGGCAGAGCCTTGACTGAGGCGCTCAATGAGCGAGAGATCACTCAGGTCCGTGGCCTACTTGGTTCAGTTCAATGGCCGGCAGTGCAAACGTCACCGCACTTGCAGTGTTCCACCTCCATGCTATCCAGCCAGGTCAACAAAGCAACGGTGCATGCACACACTTCATGAGTGCAACCGCTTACTGAAGTTCTGCAAAGAGAACAAGGATGTCGGGCTCATCTACAACCACATCGGTGAGCCGCAACAGCTTCAGATGATCACGTTCTTCGATGCTGGCTTTGGTTCAAGGCCGGATGGCAATTCCCAAGGTGGCTATGTGATCATGTTGGTGAACAAGGCCCTGCTGACATCCTCCGAGGAAGGCCAGTATCACATTCTCGACTGGCGCAGCTTCCGGACACCCAGAGTGGCTCGAAGTTCCTTAGGAGCAGAAGCCCAAGCTGGAGGCCAAGCGGCGGACGCCACTGAGTTCGCATGTCGCTTCTGGGAGCACCTGCTTCATCCTGCTCTACCTCTCCAAGATCTACTGAAGGTCAAGTCTCAGTTGACCCCACAGCTGATCACTGACGCAAAAGCTCTCTACGACTCGTACCATCGTGAGGGCATCAGCTCATCTGTGATCGACAAGAGGATCAGCCTCGAGATCCGTGTGATGAAGGAGAGAATGCAGGACATTGGTGGGTCCCTTCGGTGGGTCTCCTCAGAGAGACAGCTTGGTGACGGGTTCACCAAGGAAAGTGCTCGCGCATTGCTGGCAGCCCGGCTACGACGTGGTAGGATCAAGTTGACATGGGATCCGTCGTACACCGCGGCCAAGCGCAAGACCAAAGCAGAGCGCCACAAGGCCATTGCTGAGTCCACCGAGCACTACAAGCCAGAGGACCCCCCGGACTTTGACAAGCCCACTCAGAATGAACACATGATTGAGAATGAGTTGCCCCCTGACACCAAGAACACTCAGGAGTTCTTTGACGCCCTTGAGGACTCTGGCGAAACTGAGAACATGGAGCTTTGTGAGTATGTCCACTTTGCACAGAACAACCCCGCTCCCACGTATGTGTTCCTAGCCAGCCATGTCGCTCACCGCAAGCATGCCATGGACACGGGTCGCATGAAGTATGTCCTCAAATGGTTGGTTTGGTGGTCAATGATGGTTGCAGCAACTGGTGAAACCAACACATGTTCCACAACCGAAGCACCAGAAGAACAAGACAGCCTATGGTTCTGGATTTTGGTTTTAGCTGCTGTTCACGTCATGGCACTCCTTGGCATGTTCATTTTGGGCCGTTGCACCAAGTCCCTTTTTCCACCGGCACGACATGATGTCTCCACCCAGAAGGACGAAGCTGTAGTCCCACAAAGACTGAGGCAGCTGAACACCAAGCTTCAGGCAGATCACGACCACAGCCTACGTCAGGTTGAAGAGTCGAAGAAAGCTGCACAAGAAGCCCGTGCCGCACTGGCACTCCAAGAAGAGGAACTGGATGCTTTGCGCAACCTGTGCTTGGCTGCCCGAGATCTGTTCCGCAACCTTGAAGCGGAGATGGAAGACCACGCTGCACGATGCCCCTTCACCCGAGAGATCTATGCCTCGAAGCGAGGCGAGTGCTGGCATTTGCAGTCATGCCACCTGACGGAGCAGATCACCGAAAAGAATTTGCTCGTCATGCGACGATGCCCGTACTGCGCTGGAGTGAACCCACCACCTGACCGAATGCTGTACCCACAGGGTTGGTGCATCAGACACGATGTGCACCATTGGTACAGAGCTTTTGAGCAGTACAGTTCTCCCTCCATGTGAAGATGTACGCTGTACATCACTTTGTTTCATGAAACGACATGATCCGTCCGCAGAGGGCGGGCTCAGCTTGCCAGAAAAGGCGCGGTGCGGCGGCCCTTCGTTCGGTCGCCCCTCTTGACTTCGGTTCGTTCATCGATCCACCAATTGCTGGAGAACTTCGTGCGTTTCCAGTTTCTACAGTGCGCATATATCTTATCTTATCAATTGTTACGAGCAGCTTTCGTAATATATCACTCTGCTCCCACTGCCTCGGCAAGTAGCTCCCGCGCAGAGACCAGTGCATCGCCTGGCCGCTCCGGGATATCAAGCCAAGGCTCTCCACGACCTTTCATCTCGTTAATTGATTGATTTAATATCTTCACTATTGCCGTACTGATTCGACATGAACTAAGCCATATCCTGGTTTGTTGCACGGGATGTCTTATGATGCAAGAGAGTCATACTCTCCCCAAGCTAAATCTGCAGCGGGCGAACTTTCAACAGCCGTAGTTCCAAAAGCCTGGCAAGGAGCATGGTCTCTTGCTGCATGAAAAGCATTGGAGTACAGGCTGCTTCTGACTGCATGATTGTCCTTTATCTCCTCAATTCTTAAGCTCCTGAGATCAGTTCTCATATGTCTGCTGGCTTCGCAGATTGATCCAGCCTCACAAAGATTCTGAGCCGTCGCACGTTGGATCTCCACCTCACTGATTCGCAAAATGCTCTTCCAAACGTCAAGGATAGAGCCAGCACTGCATAAGCTTCAGGCAGGGTTGCTGCACGATCCCTTCCCGCCAGACCTCAGATGAAGTTGGAGTGACGGAAGTTTACATAGCTTTGTCCAAGATCCCAAGCCGTAGTCGCTGTCTGGGCTGGCCCTGTCCTGCTAGCAAGGTCGTATCCTCCCTCCATACAACCCCATCCATGATCCCATGGCCTCGGTGTGGTGCTTTGCAAGTTCTACCTGCAACAGTCAAGTTCCATTGTGGAAGTGATCCAGTCAAGTAAACTCATGTCTTGCCTGTGACACTTTCGCCTTCTTCCAACCGCAGCGCCTTGGAAGCTTGCCAAATGCTTGTTTTCTAGTGTTCTTTCTTTTCCTGTCTGTTGTTTGTCCTATTTTTCTTTTTAGCCCGCCCTGCCCTCCTTCTACTTAGGGGCCTACTTAATTGAGTAAGGGGGCCCACACTCCTAGTAACTGGACGCAGGATAGCTCACGCTCTTCATTTGGTTCCTAGATTGTCAACACTGGAGCTCATGCTGATGAGTTGCTGAAAGCGTAGCCTAATTTCAACCGACGAAAGCCTTCTCACATTGCCGTTGCTTTGGGTTGGTGCCCAAGCAAACCCTCACTTGTGTACAGTCAGGCAGCGAGGCTGACTACAAATCTTCCAAGGTAGCTCCGGCCTGAAGAAACTGATCAATGCTGCGAACTCAAACTTTCTGCAGATGCAACGGTTGTGACCGAATTATTGCTGTTATTGTCTACTTGTCTACCCATGAATTGTTTCCCTCTCTCTCTCATTCCTTCTGCGTTTTCACCATGACCAGGCGAAGATCCGTCTGCAGCTACAATGGAATACCGTTCATCTGAGGTTGCCACAGTAGACTGCACGCAAAAGCACTCCCGCCGCGCTTGCACTCAGCAGTTCTGGGACTGCACAGAGCTAGTGTCACGTTGAAGTCGGACTTCCACAAAAATCTCCGCCTGATGCTTTCGACTGCATCAAGCGCTGGGCCCGATCGCGCCTCAGTCCAAAGGTTTTGAACCGTTCCAAAAGCTCTAAGGAGCAGCATTCTTGTTCACAACAGGCCCAGTCAGTGGCCCCACAGACTTCTGTGTGATGCTCTTGGGAATGCCTGGTCAACAAACGAGAAACATCACAGGACACTGGTCAACAATTCTAATGTCACTACATGTGATTCCTCGTGAAAGCTTCTGGCCTTGCTGCGCAACATCACTGGAGAAGTAGACTACCACCAGCTTCAGGTGGGGAGTTGGATGTTGGAAGAAGACCTCGTTGCGCTTGGCAAACCCTCGCAGGAAGCATTCCGTTCTCTGTGAGTAGGTGTTCAAAGGCATGGACAACATATCAAAAGCATCAACGTTGCAAAATAATCGAAACGAGCCTTCTCCACCTCCACAGCAGGGAAACCATGCTGAGCAGCCAGGATGGCTACTTCGTGCAAATCAGTATGCCTTCTGGAGCTGAATGGGTACATCAAAGAGGGGATAAATTGCACATCTAAAGAGGTTATCTATATAGAAATCTCACAAACACATGATGCATCATGAAATAGACCAGTCAAAGTTGAGCATGCTTTTTCCAAATAGACCAATCAAGGTTGAGCCTTTGTTTTATTGAAATTACGCAAACAGAGAAAGGGCGGCCTGGGCAAATAAAGAGCTACTCGAGGACACAGCTTAGCAGCAGCAGCAAACAGCTGCATAATATCTGGGACCTGATGAGCTGACGACACCAGCAGGTCATTTCTATGCTAAGGTTTTGCAGACAGAGAAGAGTTGATCTTTTTCGCCCTCATCATGCAAAATAGTTGTTTATAATGGACTCGGTTCACAATTAAGATAATTAAGCTTGGGCGAGTTGTTCAAGTCTATGTCCTAACATGTGCTAGGTCCCCGGGATACCCACCGACCTGAGAAGTGTTGATTGAAGTGAAATACAAGCAAGTTGTGATAGATGACAATGTCCGAATGTATGTTTGTTCGTTTGTAGCTGCCTCGCCTGCACATCCCTCAAGGAGAAATGTGGGCAATCCAAATGTCCGGGCCCACCCCATGGAGGTGATAAGAACACCGCATCTACAGGAGCTCCAGTGTAGTTGTCAGCAAATTTCACGAAGTCATCGTGTACAAAGCGGATGCGATCAGCCACACCATAGATTCTTGCATTATGCCTCACAAATGACATAAGGACATGCACAACTGGAGAACATCTAGAACAGCTGATGTTCAGATGTTCGATTGCCTCGCATCAGCCAAACGCTGGGCGTCAGTGTCCACAGCGACAACACTGCGTGATGTCATTGCAAACCTCAGCAGGGTCAGGGTCACCATATTTTTATATATACAGTATATAGGTGACCCTAGGAGGAGTTACACCAGACTCCACAACAGTATGTGAAGCATGGTCATACATAATGGAATTGCAACGAAGCAATTCTCCTGGTTGCGTGTGTTCTACCATGTTCATCATTAACTGCTGTAACTTTCATCATGCCAGCATAGGCCCCCCAAATAGCACAAAATATTTGCGGGTAGCACCTACTGTAAATGCTTTGTTCTTTTCATTCGGCGTAGGAGTGATTTGGCAGCGGCACCTTGCAGCGGCACCGGCATCCAAGTTCCAACGCCAACACGGCCACACATCTCTGGCACCGGCATCCCGCAGCCACACCCTGCAGCAGCACCAGCACCCAAGCTCCAAACAAGCACGCGTCCGCAAACATCTAGCAGGCACACTGGAGCACCAGCACCCAATCCCCGCAGCGGCACAGCTTCCCAGCGCGCTCTGCAGCGGCTCCAGCGCCCAAGCTCCCAAGTGCACTCAGCAGCGGCTCTGCAGCGGCACCAGCACCCAAGCTCGAGCACGCACACACGCAGCTCTTCCTACACTCAACCAACAGCGGCGCCCTGCAGCGGCACCAGCACCCAGGTTTGAAAACGCACACACGCAGCTCTTCATATACTTGAAGTAAGAACCCCAATAGCTCACGCTATGTGGGATAAAGACTCATTTGAGCTGGCCATCCCTCATGATGCCCACACATTGCATGTGTCTCTAAAAGACATCAATTGTTTGCAAGGTGCTGAATTGCATTGCCACCAACACCGCAAGTGCCATCAACAACTGTGTCGTATTGAAAGCGATCCGCGATGTGCCGCGCAACGCTCTCAGGAGTTACCTCAAACCAAGCTCCTCACTGCTGACACAAAGGCACAGCCACTGGAACACTGATAATTTATATATATTATATAACTGCAAGCCAATGCTTCGGTTGATTCGACGTGGTACTTTTCAGAAGGTGCTTCCTCATGAAAGATTTCATGTCTCTCCTGGATCCATGCGTATGCCTTCGTCGAAGCGGGCAAAATAGTTGTATCGCCTTTTCCAATACCTCCGCAGTTATTGTCATGAAAAACACTCTCACGCTTGAGGTCATGTCGGAGGATGAAGGGGCCCCTGCTAGCTGCGTTGACGATGTCAAACAAGTCCAAAGCATCAGATCATCAGCGAATCAAAGAAAGCAACAAAAGACAAAAGTACTTGTTCGTAGTAGCGATGCCCTTGTTACTAGTAGCTTCTAGCTTCTAGTAGCGATGCACTTGCTCCTAGTAGCGATGCCCTTGTTACTAGCAGTTTCTTGCTCCTAGTAGCAGAGCCCATGTTGCTAGTAGCTTCTTGCTCCTGATAGCGACGCCCTTGTTGCTAGTAGCTTCTTGCTGCTACCTAATATGAGAACGTTCAGTGGATGATGACTGGATCACCAGGTGCGCAAAAAGCACACGTGTGCAGAGGGCGCGGCTTGCAGCACAGCACTTTGCACATCTGTGCTGCAAAGGGATGCAAGGGGTAATGCTTTTGCATCCAACGGTTTCTTTCTGTCTGGCTGCAGTGCACAAGCTTCTCTACGCCGCACCATGGGTTTCTACCCACTTTCGTCTCGCAATCGCTGATAGGGTCATAGCCTAACACCTGGAGAGGGCGAGCATGCCGTGGAGCTCTCCAAGCCGAAAGGCAGTGTTTCTTGACAAAGGCACTCTTCAAGTCCAAGCATGAAGTTTTGATCTCGACCATGGTTGGTCCTTGATTTCAGGACCTCTCCACTTTCCACAAGCTAGCATGCAGGTGCTTAATTTGGTGTCTTGTTTGCTTGCTCCTTCCCCGTTTCCTCTCTTCTTCTCTTCACTCCTGTCATTCTACCTTTGTTATTGTCCTTTTCTTTCTTTTTCGCTCTTCCTTCCTTCTTTCCTTCCTTCCTTCCTTCCTTGCTTGCTTGCTTGCTCCCTTGCTTGCTTGCTTCCTTGCTTGCTTCCTTCCTTCCTTGCTTCCTTCCTTCTTTCCTTAATTCCTTCCTTACTTGCTTGATTGCTTGCTTGCTTCCTTCCTTGCTTCCTTCCTTCCTTGCTTGCTTGCTTGCTTGCTTTCGTGCAATGTTGCTCTTTGTGTTCTTGCTGAATCGATCTTATCTTTTTGTGGTTCGCAATGAAAACTATTGCGATTCTTTCCCTACATGCTCATAGGAATATGAGTCAAAACACTGAACACGAGTCCAAGGCGGTCCAACATCTCGCCATTAAACCAGTCTCTGTGTATATCTAGAGGGTTCACCAACCCCTTTGGGACTACCTCCACTACTTCACAGCATCATCCACATGAACTTGTGGGGTGGGTTTAAGGGTTAGCCGGTTCAGGCTTTTACCTTGTAGGGTCTACCTTCTACCTTTGGGGGGTTGGGGTTCTGGGCTTTATGTTGACAAAGCATTTGCACAAACACACAGGCAGGTTGATGCTGGTTTTTGGATTATAGGTCTATGTGGATGAATGACTAACAATGAATGTGTGTGTGTACATGTTGGACAGACTGAGGTCGGCGACGACTATATCTATATATTGTGTCATATATAAATAAAATTATATAATATGATACCCATGTATTTATGCTTCGTGTTGACATGCGAGTGTGCGGATTTGATCCAACTGAATATGTTTCCGTTGGGTTTGTGACCATGAGTAATTGACTGACAGTAATGGTGCCAATTGATTGCAGGGGCACTTCTCATCTATGGCCTCCTCACCACTCTGCTGGATTGGTGGCGGAGTAATGCCTTTCGGACGTGGCGTGTAGTGCACCAGGACTGTTTCAGAGACCAGCAGCGCACAAAGGTCAACGACGGCCAAGCCTGCCTGCAAGATTTGATTTACAAAAAAAAGGACATTGGTGTGGTGTGCAAAGCGAATGCCTGACGAACAGGAAGCAGTAGAAAGCATGGTCTGACCTCTTCCTGCTCCGATGGATCGCATGGGGCATTGGCTGGACGCTCGCCGCGTAGTAGCCTTGAATGTGCCGCAAAGTGCGACCATTTCATCAGTTTGCTACCTCTGTTTCCACTGTTCTTAGGTTGGAGGCCATCGCTATTAGGTTGGAGGCCACTGCTATTAGTAACTCAAAAAATGATTGTTTTGGGTTATATATATATATAGATTTAATGCAATTGCTACCTCTTTACACTGTTCTTATGTCTCTCCTTGCGTTGACCACAAGCTTAGCCCGGTGGCCAGCGCAGTGATGCTGCAGTGCGCTTTGGTGCTGCCACTGACAACCCCAACGGCAGCTTCTCTGCTAGCAAGGGGGGCTGCAAAGCTGCGCAGCTGGCCTTCAGCGACAAAGAAGGCAGTCAGGGAGGGAGGGAGGGAGGCTTCAAATAGAGGTAGACTTGGAACCAAGCAATCCAAGTCGAATGGTTGTGAACCTGCATCCTGAGCCTCCTACTCCAAGAACTAGTGCAAGGGAGGCGAACATGTTTTGTGCAACAAAGTTAGGATTCTATACAGTATATATAGTGTGTGTATATACTGTATATATATATATATACACACAATGGTTATATATATACACACTGCGTATGTATATATATATATACACATGCCCGCTATACTTGGCCAGACTTTGCTGCATGTACTTATCAAGCTCTCCAAGAATTGAAGCAATTTCTGGCTCCAACTCTGCGTGAGAATGTCGGCCGCCCTTGCGGCATAGTACACAAAATTACAGTACAAACCCTGCTCTCTCTCTGTCTCTCTCTCTCCCTTCACATCCCTGGGGCCCTGGGCCTTCAAGCACAGCCGTTCTACGAAGTCGCAAACCAAGGCATTCAGCTCATTCCGGCAGTGCTCCGGCTCCATTTCACGCAATCAATGGCTTCTCCAAAGTTGACTGCTCGTGAAGGCTTGACAGCCAAAAGTTGCATACAATGGGGTTGGGCGATCAGGTCTATAGTAGCAATATATATATATACACACCAAGACCCCCAAAAGCAGCTGCCTAGCTGGCCCGTCGACAGGTGTCTCCAAAACTCAAGGGTTCAGGTATATATATATATATATTAATGATTCCAAGGCCAGCAGATCCAGTTTGAGTCTACTCTTTGCTGTTGCAAATTTGTTCAACATGATGTCTGGAGCGGCTCTGATCTGAGCACACAGGCGACACATAGGATATAGGCCTAATATAGGCAAACCCTTCCTTGCATACAATCTACACTCCATTTCTATGTCAGCACTCTGCTTCGTATTTTCATTGCAGCATCAGTGGATTTGGCCGTGCCCTCACACGGAAGCTCTCACTTTGGAGAGAGCCAAGTCCCAACAGGCAGCAGGATGACTTACCTACTAGTATGAAGAAGCAGCTGCTGGCTACAGTAAATGTTTGCCCAGACATTGACATTGATGCAAAGAGGCTCTCAAATTCAAATAAGGGACATGTTTGCCAAGAACTACTGAAGGCAGTGCAGCTGCCACTTCTCAAACAGCATGCGCAGGGCTGCTTCTATTTAGAAGACCATCTATCTCTGGGACAAGTTGCCCCAGAGGGTAGTCCTGCTCCGCACATCACCGGCCACCGACCTTCAAAGAACTATTTACGTTGGTCACGGCCACCAGGTTCCGATTTTCCGGTGTCTGATTCAGACTCGCTGGAAGCGTAGGTGGCTGCCTGAACCATGCTTCCGTTTCTTGCAGCTTTCAGCAAGTTTCAAGCATTGAGCCCTTCGTGGATCAAATTGAGCATACATGCTGTAAAACCTTGTACTTTCAAGTGGAGACGAGCTAACCAGAGCATCTGTCTCTTCCCAGAGACCCTGGAATCAGAATGCAAAGGAGCCAGAGCAGAACCCAGCCAATGGACAAAGACATTGGTCAAACAAGTGCAAAAGAATAATTGGGACAAGCCTGGCGCACACTTGCGACAATTTTTGCGTCCAGGGAGGCAGGCTACAAGAGTTCATCCCAACGGCACACAGTATATGTACTGCACGTGGCAGAAAGGTTTCCACCTGCTGCCAGAGTCAATGCAACTCGGCGGCACAAGCAGAACAAATTCTGAAAAACCTAACTCGCAGTTTTTCAAACAGTTTTGGGCCTGTGCGCGCGATCAAGTCACACGTGCTGAGATGACCGTGTCTGTGGTTTTTCTATGGATTCTAGCATGGTCCCTTCATCTCGGCACATGGAACACAGCTCTATGTTCTGCCCCTTTCGCCAGTGTGCACAGCTGGTGTCGAAATGAATCACCTGCCCATATGTGCACTTGCGGAAATTCAATTTTTTTTCTCCATCTTGATGGCTCTCTTTTCCACCAATTGAAACATCTGAAAGTTCTCATCTCTTTGCTGACGGGCCAACACAAGGTCGACTTTCAAATCCTCAATCAAACCTTCGGCCCTCAGCATTTCCTGCCTCATGTCATTGAGCTGATCCTCCATGTCATGGATCTGCTCTTCGTACTTGGCCCATAGGCTGCAGTCCAGCCATTGGGTCACTTGGACTTCTTGGCGCTGTACACCTTTCTTGATCTCTTCGTTCTCGATCTCCATGATCGCGCCATTCTCCTTCATCCAAATGAGCATGTACTTGATGATCTCCATCACATAGTACCGAAGCCTATGCAATACGCTCAAGGCCCCAACCAAGGCACACAAAATGAGTGCCCACCATTCTAGCTTGTACGCATTGGGTTCAGTCTCATAGCTTTCTTGTTCTCCCACAACAGTGTTCATGCTCGTCATCAGGAGAAGTAGACCGATTCTTGCATCTTTTCAATCTTTTCCTCCTTTCAGCACCTTCTTTGTGGCCTTCTTGACCTGGTACTCATACTCAATCTCCTTGAACTCTTCGTGGCCCACTCGATCCCCAATCGAGTTGATCACCTTCATCATGTATAGCAGGCCAAAGAGTCTTTTCTTTGTGAGATTATTTGCTCCCACATCTGCGCAATTCAGCTCTGTGGGTACCGCCACAATGCTCAACACCTTCTCTTTCTCCTTTTGTTGAACCCATAGCAGCGAAGCGTCGAGGTGTCTTACGCGGCCTATTCCTTGGCGTTGCACCATGGCTCTTGCTGCTGAGCTGTCTGAGCGCACTCTCATCTTGCATTCTTCTTTTGTCATTGCCTCCCACAAATGCTTCATCAGCATTCCATCTGAGCACCCTGCCACCACTGAGACGAACTCGGCCTCTCCTGAAGATAGAGCTATGGCTCTTTGACTCCTTTCTCGACTTTCGATCAAATTGCCGTCGATGTAGATCTGGAATGAGGATGTGGTTTTCGATCTTCTCGACTTCCTGCATCGTCTGAGTCTGTGACCACTTCCAACAAGTGGAAATCGTCTGGGTCCACTTCCACATCTTCTTCGGGGTCGAGCACTGATCTCCCCTTCTCTCTCTTTTGCAGCCGAACTCCGAAGTCGATGGTGCCATACAGGTAAGACGGTATGAGCATAGGTGCCATGCCTTCTTCCATGCTTCTGCTGTGGGGGCTGACATCTTCTTTGCCAATGGCTGAATGGCAAATTGAGCGTCTGGTCATTCAGACGCCATATACATCAATCTTCCGACCACACTTCTATACTTTGCGATCTCTTCTCCTTCAAGAGGCTTTGACTCATCCTTCTTGTTGCTCCCCTTCATGTTCTTCAGGTAGTGGACGAATTGCAGTAGCACGTTCTCCTTGCCAATCATGAACACGTCATCCACATGGACTGTGAGCAACATCTCACCGTGCTTCATGAACAATGTAGGCTGCATTGGATCCTGCTGCATACCAAATTCTTTGCATCCGTTGGCAATCATCTGGAACCATTGTGATGCTGCTGTCCTTTGTCCCGGCAAGCATGTCAGCAATTTGTAAATCTTCTCACCAATCTTCACATATGCTCTCTCATCCTTTGGTTGTGGTGACATTAAGAAGGCGTCCTTGATGTCGAGGGTCATGCCGACAAAATTGCCAAAACAATTGGTCCACAAATGAATCATCATCTTGGGGATAATCCTGAGCGATGTAGGAGCGCATGTTTGTTCCATGTTCGCCCCCTTTAAACTGTCTTGCCACCAATCGAGCACGTCGAAACCATCCTCTTTGTTCCAACTGGGCTTCCAAGCGATGACCATCTTGGTGCAAGGCCATGAGTTCTTCTTCTGTGACCTCTGGAGGGTCGTCCTCTTCTCCTCCATAACCCATGGGTTCATCGTTGATCTCCTCCGGCATGTACTCCAACCCGGCTTCTTCATCTCCGTGGGCCTCTATGGACTCTATTCCTGCATAGTGAGGTGGGTACAATCTTGCCGTCTTTGCACTTGGTGAACCTTCTACAGCATTTTCTGCCTTCCTGCTGCCTTTCTCTCTTCCTTCTTCCTTTCCTTCTTCCACAGTCTTCTGATTCTTATCTTCATTCTCCTCGTTGGGTTGTTCACCTTCTCTTTTCATCATCTGTCTCCTGGGCGATGTCTCAAGGTCGTGTTTCTTCGCCTCTGGTTCATCCTCTTGTACTCCTTCTGCCGACCTCTTCAATCCTGCACCTGTCTGGATTGCTGGTGTTTTGGGGCGCTGCCAATTGCGTAGCTGGGGTCTTTGGTTGCGCTTACCAGTCCGGCTGCCACAGTCTTTGACATCTCCTCAAGTTCGTCAGGGTTCATCTCTGCTTCGACTGTGGGATTCCTTTACTGTGATCCGCTTCATGAGAACACCTTGCGGCGAGTAATTCCATGGCAGTCCTTTGGCTATCACCATTTCCAGAGCATTGAACGATTGTTCTGACGCCAACCGACGAATGAATCCTTCTGAGCCTTTGTTCCTCACCACACGCTTGAACATCACACCCTCGCCGAAAAGAGCCAGTTTGCCACGGTTACTGTGCCCTGCGGCTAGCTCGTAGGATGTTTTGCCTGTTCCTCCCAATACTCTGAATCTGTTGGTCAGGAAGGATGCGTGTCTGAAGGCCCATGGGTATATGTGGAAATTTCCTAGGATGTTGATGTTGGCTTTGTCACCTGCAAATGATCGAAGGCAGTTTGCCAAGCGTCGCACTGATTGCACTGCCCTTTCCACCAACCCATTGGATTCGTGCTGTCCTGGCCCAGTCAGTCTGATCTCAGTCTCGAGGTTCATCGCCTTCCTCACTTGCTGAACTGACCGTAGAATCTGTCTAGTGGCCCGTTCAGAATCTGCCTGCAAAATGCATGCGTCGCGAGATGCGTTCTCCAGTGTGAACCGGATTACTTCCTCTGTGATGCGTTTCAGACTTGCTGTTCCTTTGCTTTGTACTGGGACCACGTGAATGGGTTTGGTTTCGGTTGAAGCCATGATCAACAAACTGGTCTTGTCTTTCCTGTACTTTATCTGGCGCCTTCTGTTCTTCCATCCTTCTCTCCTCACCTGTATAGGTATGGAAGAAAACGATCTGGATGATGTTCTTGCCCAGGTCTGCTTTCTTCTCCTGCGGTAAACGCTTATATTCTTTTGCCCTGCTAGCCATGCGTGCTTGACACCAGGGTGCATATGGCCAGTGTGTGACGAAGTGCAGCTCTTGTTCCTTCAACGATGTCAACCTCGGTTGACCCAATGTCATAGGTCTCCTCTGGCTCTCATTGAACAACTTGTTGGCAATGCTCAATTGTAGCTTGTTCTCTAGGTCAACTTTGAATGCTACCAATCTCGCCAACAAACGCTTCTTGCTCCCTGTGTATGGTAGGTTTCTCTCCTTGCACGCCAGCTGCAGATCCTTCACTTTTGCGTTCTCATCATACGTCACTTCATCAAGTTCTACTTCGCCTTTCCTCTCTGCAACCACCATCTTTTCAATGTCCCGCGCTTCCCATTGCTCCTCGAGCTCTTCAATGTCTTCTTGTTCCTCTTCTGACCATTCATGACGCTTGATCTCTCCTTCTGGTTCCGGGTATGGAAAGACAGGCGCTTCAGCATCTTGTTCCCAATAATCTTTCAAGTGGCTGGTAGCAAAAAGCTCAATGTCCTCTGTGGGTTCTGGTCTGTGGTGATCTGTCTGAATGCCTTCTCACCCAGGATGATGTAGTCCTCTACATTCTCCAGCTGTCGCCACACGCCATCTTTGTCTTTCATGAGCGTCAATCTGGCCTTCCAGTCACCGTCAACGCTTTGCCACGCATCTGCAAGTCGAATAGCGACTGGATCACTGTAAACAATGACTCCGTTCGGAAGTCTGCGCCATCCCGGTGACATCTCAAGCTCCTCCACATACTTGCTCAAATAGCCTCTGAGAACATTGATCCGCGCTTCATCTTCCTTCTCCTCTCTCTTGCTCGTCTCTTGCTCCTCCACCTCAATTCCAAAAATCCTAGCCTCGAACTGGAGTGATTTTCTCTCTGTGTTAATGGGAATCCTCACTTCTTTTCCTTCATCACAAAGGAACATCTTCCCGTCATCTTCGCCTGCAATACTCCATCCTCGCTTGATGAGGCGTCCTGCGCATAGGATAGGATGTTGCACATTTACCAGCACAAGCTCCTCAATCATCTCGATTGTGGTCTGTGATCCTGATTCTTGCCTTTGTCAATCCTTGATGCGCTATCTTCGTGCCCCGCGCATCCACCATCCTCAGCTCTTCTGAGCCTGGCCTCCATGTTCCCACATCTCCATAACAGCTGTCCTGGGTGTTCTCTTCCACCTTCACCATCTGTATCACTTTGGTCTCCTCCTCTTGAGTCTCCACGCACTGGAGATCCATTGCAGTAACTGGAACGTGATCTGGCGTCCATACTGCAGGTTCCTGACACTCATAGAACTCTTCAGGCTCCAACTCAATGTGCACCGTGTCAACTCTCATGGGTGTCAAATTTCTTCATCACCTTCTCTAGGAGTTGTCAGATCAAAGATTTCTGCGGTGCTCGTGTTTGGTGGTGTTGTCAATCTCACCATCTTCACCTGCGTTGTCTGTGTCGTTTGAGTTGTGGGTCCTGTTGACGAACTCGATGCTCCTGCGGGGTTTTCCTCAACTTGTTGGACACGTTTCCAGCATTCCTT